CATTGTGACTTCTGAGGGCCCTATACATTTTTGTCTTTGTGGGCCCCCTCCCTCTATAAAAACAAAAGTATTGATCAAAATAAGAGAGCTGCTGTCTATCCCACATTTTTTTTCTATCTTACCAAGAAGTAGGTTGTGGTCTACTTTACCTTCCTGAAGTATTTCTGAATTTTGTCACTCTCCCAAAACTTACTTACAGGATGACATTCCACATTCTTCCAAGAATGCCAGAATATCTTATCCCTTTGTGGCCACTCTATGGTTCCCTTCCTCTAGTTCCACCCTTGGTAAGGTATGTCCTGCTTAGATAGGCACGATACAGACTTTGGAACTGATTGGCTAATTGACATAGTTAACTTAGCAGCTCTAAAATGTAGACTTTTAAGTTAATTTTTAAACAACATTTTAAAAGTTAAGACTGATTGCTCTGTACACAAGGAGCTAAACACAGAGAATATCTGCCCATTTTTGTGGTGTTGGTGAAAAAAATTAACATTTGTATATTTAAGTCCCCACTAGCATAGGGATTTTCCTCCAGTGCTAAATGTTAGTCCCTCTCTCTCTCTCTCTCTCTCTCTCTCTCTCTCTCTCTCTCTCTCTCTCTCTCTCTTTCTCTTTCCCCCTCTCTCTCTCTTTTTCTCTCCATCTCTCTCTCTCCCCATCTCTCTCTCTCTCTTTCTCTCTGTGTATGTGTATATGTGTGTGTGTACATGTGTGTAGGAGGGAAAGATGACCACATTATACAGAAGTGTTCTTCAACCTTAGCAAATTCAAGATATGTGGACTTCAACTCCCAGAATTCCCCAGCCAGCATGGTCCTAATGAAATCTCCTACCCCATTAATCTTTTATTTAAAACATACTGTACATGGTTGCTATTTAGCAATTAAAGATATGGGTTATGGGTTCACTCCTGGAGCTTTCTTTGCATCCATGTGGACGTTCCCTTAAAATCTTTGATGGGTCAATTGGTGTTTGGAGATGGAGCCCATTGCTGTAAACCAGGGATCTTCAAACCTGGCCCTTTTATGACTTGTGGACTTCAACTCCCAGAATTCCTCATCCAGGCCTGCTGCCTGAGGAATTCTGGGAGTTGAAGTCCACAAGTCATAAAAGGGCCAAGTTTGAACATCCCTGCTGTAAACCGTTTTTCAAAATTTGCTAATGGAGCAGCTTAGGAGATTCAATGCCCCCCCCCTCCTCCTCCTCCTCCTCCTCCTCCTCCTCCTCCTCCTCCTCCTCCTCCTCCTTCTTTCCCCAAACAAGAAGCTCTCATCCCAGGGACAGCTGGCTACAGGGCTTCTGTAGCAGGAATTTTCTCCTCCTTCCATCAATGGAAGAACAATGCTGACCTCCACTGTTGGTGAAGACATTTTCAGGCAGTTGGAAGGCTAACCCTGAAGAAAGAAGAGCATGAGGGCTGATGCTCTGGGCCAGCATTTCTCAAACCTCAGCAACTTTAAGATGGGTGGACCTCAACACCTAGAATTCCTCAGCTAGCATGCTTTAAGAGCGGTGGACTCCAGTTCCCAGAATCACCCGGCCAGCATGCTTTAAGATGGGTGGCTTTTAATTCCCAGAACGATTTAAGATTGATGGACTTCAAGTCTCAGAATTCTCCAGCCAGCCTGCTTTAAAATGAGTGAATTCCCAGAATTCCCCAGCCAGCAAGTCTACCCATCATAAAATTGCTGAGGTCAAGAAAAACTGCCCTGGGACCTTAAGATGGGCTCTCCAAACTTGGCAGCTTTAAGACTTGTGGACTCCAACTCCCAGAATTCCTCAGCCAACCATGTTGGCTGAGGAATTCTGGAGTGGAAATCCACAAGTCTTAAAGTTGTCAAGTCTGGAGACTTCTGCCTGAGGGGGATACCTCAAGAAGAACAGGAAAGAACCTCATCAAAGTTGGTCGCTCTCCAGCTTGAAGTCTCCACATGAAGGACCCTAACTCTAACTCTAGGGTGGCGTTATGCCCAGACCCTAGGAAACCTGTGATGCCCCACTGGTCTGTCTGAGCCCCTGAGCCCACCCCCAAGAGAACCCACCCCGGAGGAGTTGGAGGAAGAGAGGCTACAGAACCAAACCCTCCGAACCTTACAATCTTCTCAACTAGCTGGCTGATCTGTCTCTCGGTGGTGGGGGCTCCGTCCACGTAGTAATCCATTCCACGCAAGCAGTAATGGCGTCCAGTGCAGGGGCTGTAGTAGCCTTGGTATGGCATCCGGCCCGGGATGGGGTAGTGATGCCGGACGTATGGAAGCTGCTTCCGAGACAAGCTGTTCAACATGTTGACCACAACTTCACGTTCTGGAGAAAAGGAGTCAGAAAGAGAGGACAGCTAGAGGGCAGAGCTGAGGGTTGGTCGGCCCATTGGCAGTGGGTTCAAGGCCAACCTCAGCGGGTTCAAGAAGCAACCTGAGATTAAGGAGAAACTTCCTAACAGTGAGAACAATTAACCAGTAGAACAATTTGCCTCCAGAAGTTGTGGGTGCTTCATCGGTGGAGGTTTTTAAGAAGAGATTGGAGAACCTTTTGTCTGAAATGGCATAGGGCAGTGATGGCAAACCTTTTAGAGACCAAGTGCCCAAACTGCAACCCAAAACCCACTTATGCATCGTCGGGTGCCGGGTGGGTGTGGCCCATTGGCTGGGTGTGGCCAATTGGGGGTGTGTGGCCCATTGGGTGGGCGTGGCTGCGGTGGTAACGGCAGACTGGGTGGGACTAAAAAATTCAATCAATCAATTCCAACTTTGCAACTTTATTTCCTATGAGAAGTTGAAATCGACTGATTGATTGGATCTTTTTTTTTTTTTTGCACACGGCGGCAGAGGCCTAAAGCGAAAAGGTTTTATAAAACCCAGTTGAAGGCCTAGGACTGGGGTGACAGCGCGCGTGCCCACAGAGAGGGCTCTGAGTGCCGTCTCTGGCACCCATGGCATAGGTTTGCCACCACTGGCACAGGGTCTCCTGCTAGTGCAGGGGGTTGGACTAGAAGACCCCCAAGGTCCTTTCCAGCTGTTTATTGACTCAGGAAGCACCCCTTTTCGGAATGCAAAATTTGAAAACTCAACATTCAGAATAACAGAGTTGGAAGGGACCTTGGAGATCTTCTAATCCAACCCACTGCTCAAGCAGGAGACCCTATACATTCTGGACAAATGGCTGTCCAGTCTCTTCTTAAAATCCTCCAGTGATGGAGCACCCACAACTTCTGGAGGCAAGCTGTTCCATTGGTTCATTGTTCTGCAGGTTGCTTCTAGGTTGCTTCTCTCCTTGAATAGTTTCCATCTATTGCTTCTTGTCCTGCCTTCAGATGCTTTGGAGAACAGGTTGACCCCCCTCTTCTTTGTGGCAGCCACTCAGATACTGGAAGGCTGCTAACACGTCACTCTTGGTCCTTCTTTTTATTAGACTACACATATCCAATTCCTGCAACTGTTCTTCATATATTTTAGCCTCGTGTCCCCTAACTCACCCAATCTGAAGTGATAGCAACCATGGAGGCTCAAGGCTTCACAACTATGTTCTCGGATTACCAAGAAAGGGGAGGGGATTGAAAAAGAGGAGGAGGAGGAGAGGGGAGGAGGAGGGGAAGGAAGGGGGAGGGGAAGGAAGGGGGAGGAGGAGGAAGAGACTGGGGTGTGTGTGTGCTTTCTGAGCTTGGTTGTTTTCTTGTGCAGACGTCTCATCACCCAACTAGGTAACACCAACTAGGTATCACCCAACTAGGTATAGGTTTCCTGCCTGAGCAGGGGGTTGGACTAGATGACCTCCAAGTACCTTCCAACTTTATTATTATTATCATCATCATTGCTAGATGGGGCTTGTATATAAGCAGAGAGCAAACCCCACTCCCTTCTGGCACTGATGATGTTACCTAATTGGGTAATGAAATGTCTGCAAGAAAAGAACCAAGCTCAGAGTGCACCTTGTTGGCCAAATTGGACAGCTGTCTTATGCCTACACTGGGGTGAGGAAGGGAAGCTTCCGGAAGAGGTACCGTAGTTGTTGAGTCGCTCAGGCTTTGGAGGGTACTCCATGGGCATCCCGCGCAGAATGGCATCCATGCCAGCTTCCTGAAAGACAGGTTTGCCATAGGTAAGTCCGTTGCTTTAGATCAGGGGTAGTCAACCTTGGCTCTTTTATGACTCGTGGACTTCAACTCCCAGAATTCCTGAGCCAGCTAAGCTGGCTCAGGAATTCTGGGAGTTGAAGTCCACGAGTCATAAAAGAGTCAAGGTTGACTACCCCTGCTTTAGATGCTCTACCAAGTGGCAGCCATGAGGGGTCTCAAAGATGCCACGTTTTGTCCCCAGTTATCTTGGAAAGAAGTACAGGGTAGTCCTTGACTTACAACAGTTGATTTAGTGACCATTCAAAGTTACAGCGGCATTGAAAAAAGTGACTTATGACCATTTTTCACACGACCGTTGCAGCATCTCCATGGTCACATGTTCAAAATTTAGACGCTTTGTAACTGGCTCATATTTATGACTGTTGCAGTGTCCCAGGGTCATGTGATTTTACATTTTACAACCCTCTGACAAGCAAAGTCAATGGAGAGGCTGAATTCACTTAACCAGGTTACTAATGTGGGAAGTCAGCCCCCCCAGAGAAGGAAATATTAAAAGGGCAAAATATTATATTTCCTCAAAGGATCTTAAAGAGGCAGAAAAGCATGCCCACTTTTTTTTAAGCAGAAACCAGCTCTGTAGAAATGCAGATGGAGCCACAGCTAGAAAATCAAGAAGACAAAAACACCTAAAATCTACATATCCCACCCAAACTCTAAGACAGGACATAATAGGATTAACCCACAGATGCCAAAGGGACACAGGAAATACAAAGCCTCAAACAGGAACAGGAAACAACCTCAAGAGCCCCAGAGGGTATAAAAACCCACTCCCTACATGTGCTCTCTCTCTTTTCTTCCAGAGCCATCTTCCTGTCTGGCTCTCCTCTTCAATAAACTGCAACCTTCTTTCTAAAGCAGTCGCCATATTGTTTATTCCCGGCTTGGACTGAACCATGATGAAAACCTTTCTTTCAACACTAACTTATCAACTGCAGTCATTCACTTAAACAACTGAGGCAAGAAAAGTTGTAAAATGGGGCAAAATTCACTTGACAAATGTCTCACTTAACAACAGAAATTTTGGGCTCATTTGTGGTCGTAGGTCAAGGGCCACCTGGTGTGGTCAAAAAAGTAAAGAGGGCCGACACATCATCGCATCACATCCAGTGGGCCCTCCTGGGAGCTACAGGAATGGGCAGTGGAGACAAATAAGTGATAGAAGTGAATTTACTGCTTGTGCAATTTTCTGACTCAAGAATGGAAACCAAATGCCTCAATTCAGCGATGACACACACACACACACACACACACACACACACACACAAACACCCGCATCACTTATTTCTCCTTATATTTCTGCTTTTATCATTGATTCCCTGTGAATGTGTTAGAAGTTGTGTTTATATACAGCACAAATCAAATAACATGCACAGTCACCATGTGCTTTACTACTTAACAGGAAACAGGAAACTCTACTTAGAACAAAAGGACATAGAGTATATACCATAGATCCAAACTTGTAAACACTGCCATATACTGGCTGAATACTACTGTAATTTACACAAAAATACATTCCAACGATGTATTCCAACAGAATTCAACCACTTTTTCTGAAATCTAGTACAAAGTAGCCCTCAAATTTTGACCATAATGGAGCCTGGCAATTATGACCAAAAGTCAGGACGGTTGTAAAACAAGTCACTCACATGACCTTTAACAACCTTTTTTGCAGTGGTTGTTAAGTGAGCATGGTGGTCAATGGGGAAGCCAAATTCAGTTAACAACCATGTTACTAACTTAACGAGTTCCAGGCAAACGATTGATGACCACAGTGAGTTTTTATCTGCTACAAGGACATCCATTCTCCATCCATCCACCCAGCTTTCTTTTCATTCCATTTTCAAAATGTGATGTCATTAAAAATTGCATATCCCATTCCTCAAATGTAGGGAGTTCTGGGGTAGTTTGCAAACAAAATATATCAGCAATTAAATCAGAGCTCTAAAACAGAATGCAGGTAGTCCTTGATTTACAACCACAGCTGTGCCCAAAATTTCCATGGCTGAGCAAAATAGTTGCTAAGTGAATTTTGCTCCATTTTACAACCTTTCTTGCCACAGTTGTTAAGTGAAGCCCTGCAGTTGTTGAGTTAGGAACACGTTTGTTAGGTGACTCTGGCTTCCCCGTTCACTTTGCTTGTCAGAAGGTCGCAAAAGGGGATCACGTGAACCCGGACATTGCGACCGTCATAAATATGAACCAGTTGCCAAGCGTCTGAATTTTGATCATGTGACCATGAGGATGCTGCAAAGGTCGTAAGTGTGAAAAACGGTCATAAGTCACTTGTTTTAGTGCTGTTTTAACTTTGAACGGTCAATAAACAATAAACTGTCAATAAACAAACTTTGGTAAGTCGTGGACTATCTATAACAGCCTGCCAACTGCTTCCATGACCACTTTTTGATTAGGTTAGATCAGGGGTAGGCAACCTCAGCTCTTTTATGATTCGTGGACTTCCACTCCCAGAATTCCTGAGCCAGTCATGCTGAGGGGAAAGAGAGAGGTTTCCAAGCTGAGCTATGCTGGCTCAGGAATTCTGGGTGTTGAAGTCCACGAGTCATAAAAGAGCCAAGGTTGCCTACCCCTGGTTTATATAAAAGAAATGTTTTCTCTGTTTTGTCTTTTTCTTTTCTTTTTGCTCTTATTTTCTTTTAAGGTATGAGAAATGTAAAAATGTGATGGCTTGTATGAGAAAAAAGATTTAAAGACTTAAGTGTAACTAATTTTGAGAAAATCTTAACCAGTAGGAATGTTTTGAATACTGTGGGGGAAGCAAATTTAAATAAGAATGTAAACGGTATTTATGATGAAGCAATCAAGATGATCCATGAAAAGAAGCTTTATACTGATGTGGGTTATTATTTGCAGAAACATGAGAAAAATGTTTATATTTAATTGTCATTTATTTAAATAAGAACTGTATTAATGTAAGGTGGGCTAAAGAGAATATTATTGGAAGAAGAGGAAGTCAGGTAAAGTTATTACATGGATTATAGAGTTATAGAAATTAATTGTTATTGATTGTTTTTTAAATACTAACCCAGACAACACAAAATATTTACCAAATATTAAGGTGTATGTTAAAAATCAATAAAACATATTTAAGAAAGGAAGGAAGGAAGGAAGGAAGGAAGGAAGGAAGGAAGGAAGGAAGAAAGAAAGAAAGAAAGAAAGAGAAAGAAAGAAAGAAAGAAAGAAAGGAAGAAAGAAAGAAAACCAACCCTGGCATGGCATGGCTTACCCTGGGGATCCGTGGCAGGTACGTGGTGTATCGGTTCCAGGCTGCGCTGTTGTACGGCCCAGTCCGCCAGGTTGCGTATCTGTCATTGCCGACGAACACCGGGTTGAATTTTTCTGGGTTTGGAAAAGAGTGCAGAGTTTTCAGGAAACCAGTGGGGAGACCCCAAGGGGAAGGGGGTTGGTGGGGGTGGCACCCAGGGTCTTGAGGGCAGGGTAGAATTATATGTGTGTTGATTGGTTTATAAAATTTATTGGCTACCCATCTTATCATAATTACAGCACATATACAGTTAAAAACATAAAAAGACATTAAAATCAAGGACTTCAACTCCCAGAATTCCTGAGCCAGCAAGCTTTAATATGGGTGGTTTCAATTTCCAGAATTCACCAGCCAGCAAGCTTTAAGTTGGGTGGACTTCAATTCCCAGAATTCACCAGCTAGCAAGCTTTAAGTTGGGTTGATACTTTGCTTAACAATAGAAATTCTGTTCCCAGTTATGGTCATAGGTGGAGGACTACCTCTACAACAGTGTAGCAGAGTCAAAGAGAAGGAGTTGAGGACAACTCAAGTACCTTCTTCACGGGACACCCAATATTTGTACGGCCGGTAGGCTGTTGGTTCTATCGAATTCTTGTAGGAGTACTCCTGGACTGCTCTTTTCACCATCTTCTCCAGGTGGGCTTGGTCAATCGGATGGTCCACTTTGGGCACGGTCAAGCCCTGCGGAGAGGAAGGAGAGCAGGTCAATTTGTGGAGATGGGGAGGAAGACTTTGGGTAGCCTTGGACAGGGGTCTTCAAACTTGGCCCTTTTATGACTTGTGGACTTCAACTCCCAGAATTCCTCAGCCAGCATGCCTGGCTGAGGAATTCTGGGAGTGGAAGTCCACAAGTCATAAAAGGGCCAAGTTTGAAGACCCCTGCCTTGGATGAATCGCTTCTGCATTGACAACTGCTAAAGTGGGAAATGTAGACACGTAGAATTGTAGAGTTGGCAGGACACAAAGTTTATCTACTCCAGAGTTTCTCAACCTTGCTCAATCTAGCATAGGCTTGGGCTTCAACTCCCAGAATTCCCCAGTCACCATGTGTGGACTTCAACTCCCCGAATTCTGCTTGCTCGGTCCCACCCTCTCTGCAAGAAAACAACCAAGCTCAGGGAGCACCAAGGACCTCACAGTGTCCTCCTCCTCTTCCTCTCCACAAACATCACTTCCTTCTAGTACTGATGATGTCACCTAGTGGAACAGCTAGTGCAGAGGTGATAAACTGGGGGCCTGTGGGCTGGATGCATCACACGCAGGCCACGCCCATCCTGGCTCCACAAAGGCAATAAACATCACGATATGTCACGTGACACGATCAAGTTTGACACCCGTGAGCTAGTGGAACAGCTTGCATTAACCAGTGGAACAGCTTTGCCTTCAGAAATTGTGGGCACTCCATCACTGGAGGTTTTTAAGAAGAGATTGGACAGTCACTTGTCTGAAATCGTATAGATTCTCCTGCTTGAGCAGGGGGCTGGACTAGAAGACCTTTAAGGTCCCTTCCAGATTCTATTCTATTCTATTCTATTCTATTCTATTCTATTCTTGTCCTATCCTATCCTATCCTATCCTATCCTATCCTATCCTACCCTTGTTCCATTCCTGTTCCATTCCTGTTCCATTCCTATTCCATTCCTGTTCCATTCTATTCTATTCTATTCTATTCTATTCTATTCTATTCTATTCTATTCTATTCTATTCTATTCTATTCCTGTCCTGTCCTGTCCTGTCCTATCCTATCCTATCCTATCCTATCCTTCCTGTCCCATTCTATTCTATTCTATTCTATTCTATTCTATTCTATTCTATTCTATTCTATTCTATTCTATTCTATTCTATTCCTGAAACATCTGCAACGAAGTTCAGAGAACTCCAAGGACCTCAGTCTCCTCCTCCTCCTCCTCCTCCTCCTCCTCCCTGCAAACCCCACTCCCTTTGAGAGCTAATGATGTCACCTAGGTGGGTCTGCAAGAAAACCACCAAGCTCAGAGGGGCACCAAGGACCCCATGCTTCTATCTTCACAACCTCTCCAGGACCCTGGGAAGGACTCTCAACTCCAGAGGGATCCATAAAGCAAAGCTGTCCTCCGTGAAGGAAAGATTGCTCGGAGACTCACAGTTGTGACGCGGCTGTCAACTCTTCGAGGGAGCAAAGATCAGGAAAACCAACTCTACATTTTTGAAAGGAACTGCCTTCTATTGAGATAGTTTGTAGTAACAGAACTTTGAAAGCTCCCGAGTGTGTTTTCCCCCCCTCGGTTCCTCTTATACCTCAGGGAATTAGGGTGGAGCTAAGGCTTGTTTCCTTGGCTTAGTATGTTTGGCTGGGTGTTGTAGTAACCATCTATGCGTGGTTTCTCCAAGGTCATCTCTGTGCCTCTTTACACAGCCAGATCCTGACATGCATGCATCACACGAGCCAGCAAGAGGGAGAGATAGGCCTCAACTTAACGACCATAATTGAGGTTGAAATTTCCATCCCTAAGCCATTGTTAAATCAGTTTAACGAGCCCTGCCTGATTTTGCAGCCTGTTTTGTCATGGTTGTTAAGCCAATCACTGTAGTCATTAAGTGAATCGTGTGGTTGTTAAGTGAATCTGACTTTCCCCCATTGATTTTGCTTGCCGGAAGTCAGAAGGGAAGGTTGCAAAATGGCGATCACTTGACATCAGGACGCCACAACCGTCATAAAAAAAAAGCCAGTTGCCCAAAACCGAAAGTCTGATCATGTGACTGGGGGGGGGGGAATGCCGAGGCGGTTGTAAGTATGAGGACCTGACACAAGTCACTTTTTTCACTGTGACTTTGAACGGTCACTAAATGAATAGCTGTATTTGCACGGATGAGAAAAATATCGTGCAGATGCAAACACTCACCTGGCTAAGATTGGTTAGTAATTAATTGGCTTCTTGTAGTTTACTGCATTGTGTGAATCTAGCACAATTAGCGGGCTGTGGAATTCTGGGAGTTGAAGTTCAGACATCTTAAAGCTGTCAAGGTTGAAAACATGGGTTTAGTGCAGGGGTAGGCAAGCTTGGCTCTTTTATGACTCGTGGACTTCAACTCCCAGAATTCCTGAGTCAGCTATGCTGAGGGAAAACGGAGAGGTTTCCAAGCTGAGCCATGCTGGCTCAGGAATTCTGGGAGTTGAAGTCCACGAGTCCTAAAAGAGCCAAGGTGGCCTACCCCTGGTTTAGTGAATTGTGAGAACCTAGAAAATGGCTTTTAGACTCTAGAAAAAGTGCAGAGAAGAGCAACAAAGACTGGACTGGAGCCTAAAACATATGAAGAACGGTTAGGGTTGCCAGGTGTCCACTATTTGAGTGGACAGTCCACTTTTTTCACATTATGTTCACTATTTTTTTTCACAAAATAGTGGACATTTTTTTTATTCAAAAGCTTTATGATGAAATGGTACGTAATCTAAAGCTGTACAGTCTACTTTTTTTACTACTTAACCCCCCCCCCCCCGCTTGTCCGCTATTTTTTGGAAGCAGACCTGGCAACCCTAAGAACGGTTGCAGGAACTGGGCATGGCTAGTCTAGTGAAGAGAAGGACCAGGGGAGACATGACAGCAGTCTTCCAGTATTTGAGATGCTGTCACAGAGAGGAGGGGATCAGCCTGTTTTCCAAAGCACCTGAAGGCCAGACAAGGAATAACGGATGGAAACTGATCAAGGAGAGATTTAAACTGGAAATAAGGAGGAATTTCCTGCCAGTGAGAACAATCAACCAATGGAACAGGTTGTCTTCAGATGTTGTGGGAGCTTCAACACTGAAGGCTTTTAAGAAGAGACTGTCAGAAATGGTGTAGTAGGGTCTCCTGCTTGGGTGGAGCAGGGGGTTGGACTAGATGACCTACAAGATCCCTTCCAACTCTGTTGTTATAAATTCCTTATCTCCACCCGTCCCTTATAGAGATTCATCGATGGATACCTGGAACGGATTACCTTTGTGATATGCTCATTCGGGCTCCATTGTTGCAGAGAAGGCTCCTGATAGATGTGTTTCCTAACCACCGGCACCCGATAGGAGTCCGTGTAGGTGCTGAGGGGAGTTTCGGTTTTATGTGCAAAGATGAACATGGTTCCAGAAGGATCTCTTTCAAAGATGCTGCCTTGGGCGCCAACCTAATTCTCTACGACTCTCTAGCTGTCTATCAAAAGGGATTCCAGGGTGAAAGATGCACCTTCACCCCACCTTCGGCCGATAAGAAAATAAAAAGGGGGACTCTTTGTACTCTACTAACAAACAACTACTGGCTGCTCATGGCCCTCCAAGCTCAGCCTAACACCGGGTCTACCTCAGCTGTGATGTCACAGTCATGGAGAGCAGCCATAATACAGGGGAGCAGAGAAGAGGGCAGGGGGATCGTGGGAAGGACAGGGGCTTTTCCTGGGGATTCTGGCTTCTTGATTTGGGTACCCCCATCCTGGCTCCACCCTGTTGGGTTGCTTCGCTGGACAGGCAGAGGCCCCAAAAGGACACCATTGCTCCTCAAGTGGTTGCAGAAGAATGGCTGGAAGATTTATCAATAGAAGAGAATATTTGTAGCTCAGGGTTGAACCGTGGGGTCTTGATGGTCTCTGAGCTTAGTGGTTTTCTTGCAGATGTTTCAGGACCCAGCTAGGGAACACCATCAGTGCTACCAGGATCAGTCGTACTATTATCAATAGCACGGATGATGTTTCCTAGTTGGATATTAAAATATCTGCAAGAAAACCACCAAGCTCAGAGACCATCAAAGACCTCGCAGTCCTCCTCCTCTTCCTCGCCACAAACCTGCTCCCTTCCTGCACTGAGAATGTTACCTAGTTGGGTCATGAAACGTCTGCAAGAAAACCGCCAAGCTCAGAGACCATCAAAGACCCCACAGTGCTTCTTCCTCCTCTCCACAATCCCTCCTCCCTTCTAGCACTAATGATGTTGCCTAGTTGGGTCATGAAATGTCTGCAAGAAAACCCCCAAGCTCA